AGCTCCGTGATGTCGTCATGGAGGAGTGGAAGAGGACTCCAGTGGAAACCTGTGAAGCTCTGGTGAACTCCATGCCCAAGAGTGTTAAGGCAGTGCTGGAAAATAATGGTGGCCACACAGAATATTGACACTTTGGGCCCAATGTGGACATTTTCACTTAGGGGTGTACTCACTTTTGTGGCCAGCGGTTTAGACATTAATGGCTGTGTGCTGAGTTATTTTGAGGGGACAGCAAATTTACACTGTTATACAAGCTGTACACTCACTACTTTACATTGTAGCAAAGTGTCATTTCTTCAGTGTTGTCACATGAAAAGATATAATAAAATATTTACAAAAATGTGAGTGGTGTACTCACTTCTGTGAGATACTGTATATTATATATATAGTAGATTAAAGATGATGGCGCCATGCATGGCTGCCTTGGTTTGTAGCTCCTTGGTACTTTAACTATTTTTGTTTGTTTGTCCTGTTTTAAGTAACTTTTTTTTCTGATCAGCTTTACTAGGGACGAACTCCTAAACATCAGAAATAGCACACCAAATAACTTTTTGCCGACTTTTGAGCATTCAGGCGTTTTACTGGACATTCTAGTCGGAGAAGCTGCGATCCTATACAAGCTAGGGGTGGGCGATATGTAGCCTCAAAATTATATCATGATATTTCAAGAATATTTGCGATAATGATATTTATGACTATATATAAAAAAATATGGAACAACGTTTTATTGGTGATTGCAGATGGCGGGCAGCAGCATTTATTAATGCAAACAAAATGAAGGGCATTTTCCATCCTTTTCCAATTAGCTACTGTCATCGATGACAGACTACCTAATTCGAAGTGTAAATCTATTGTCATAAGGTGGCAGCAGCAGCTGTGTGTTCGACTTGAAGCAGGCCAAAAAAAGGTGAAAAAGTTCAACCTTCCACAGGTGCAGATGACACAGTTTTACTCAGCTGTTATTGAGTCGGTTCTGTGCTCTTCTATAACGGTCTGGTTTGGGTCAGCCAGCAAATCAGATACACTCTTAAAAATAAAGGTGCTTCACGATGCCATAGAAGAACCTTTTTGTCTAAATGGTTTCATAAAGAACCTTTAATATCTGAAGAACCTTTCTGTTTCACCAAAGGTTCTTTGTGGTGAAAAAAGGTTCTTCAGATTACAAAAAATATTTGCAGAGATACAGCCTCAGATGCAGTTTGGCACTATGCCTAAGATTTGTAGTGGCGCTGTACAAAAACGGTTTTGTTTATCGACACAAAATCCATAACTCTTTGTCAGCACAGTCTGAAGATGATTTGACTCGATTTTGGTGAAAATCGGACCAAGGCTTGAGGAGGAGTTCGAAAAAGTAGGTTCACAGAATAAATCAAAATGGCCGACAGGGTGACAATGGCACATACAAAGTTTGGTCCAAATACGTTAAAGCTTTGCAGAGATACATCCTCAGATGCATTTTGGCATCTTACCCAGCAAATTCGTTGATGCTCTAAACGAAAACCGTTTTGTATATCGACACGAAATCCATAACGTTTTGCCAGCTTGGTCTGAAGATGATCTGAGTCAAATTTGGTGAAAATTGAACTAACGGTCTAGGAGGAGTTCGAAAAAGTAGGTTTTCAACATGTATCAAAATGGCGGACAGGAAGTTCAGCCAG